GGTGTACTTCATAATAAGGTCTTTGGGATCATTGGAAGACTTAAAAATAGAAATTGAAATTCTACTTCCTTCTGGCATTCCCAGTCACTCATAAAATTCAGTGAATAACCGGTCTCCCTGGGCCCATGCATCCTGCATTTCTGTTGCCCAAAGCCCCATCACGGTTAAGCGACCTAGATGACTAGCTGACCAGGCAGATACCCTGGCTGAAGAATAGATGCTTGTCGTAAAATAAACCCTGTTGGCTTTACTTATTTTCTATTGATACATCTCATCAATGCAAGACTGGTGGATGCCTACCATTTTAAGGACCAAATGTAGTACAGTTCTGTTCCTTGATGAGAATCTGGTTCCTTTAACATGGCTCAGTGGTAAAGAAGGAAGTGAAGGCATGTATACCTGAGGCACACAAACAAGGTCAACGCACCAAGTCCCCATCATGTTCTTCCGGGTCTGCCACATTTGATTCGCCTCCACCAGTAATTCCTCCCACGCCCAAATTCCAAGAACTTTCTATAAAGGCATTTCATTTTATAATTATTCTGGGTCTTTCTTGCAGATATAGATTCTTTGTTTATCTCTCTCCACCCCACACGCCTAAAGATAAAGCTGTTTTTGTGAACATGGGAAAGGTTAAGGAGAGAAAGAACTGGAGTCTCTTTATCTTCCTGACCTTTCCTTCTCACAAGGAGGGAGAGGGAATATTTTGCTTAACTATGAGGAAATTACTTTTAGAGTTAGTGGGGCTCCCCTATTTGTCGCACCCCGCCATAAGCAATGCAGGTGAGAACTCTGCAGCCCAGACTAACCTGTAATAACCTGGGATATAAAAATAGGCATATGCCCCTCACAGAGACATTTCTAAGCGTAGACTATTACTGACTCTGCAGTTTGTTAAGTGCTGTAGTGATGAATGAGACAGGTCAATTCTGATTGTCTTGCTTGGAAAATTTTGAAATGCTGCTTCGTTTTAACAGTCAAAACCCAAGTATAAAGTATCTTATGTAACCTCCACAGTTTGCAGAATATGTTCTCAGGCATCATTTCATTTGATAATCATGATAAACCTGTTTTCAGAAGAGGAAACTTGGGCTCAGAGAGGTAAAAGGGACTTGCCCATGGGACCAACAGATAGCATAATGACTATGTCGCTGGACTCCCATGTAGTAGACCACAGTTCGAGTCCTGGACCCGGTGGCTTGAACTCACACTGGGCACGTGTGCATGCGCGCCCAAGATCCTGAGAGGAGAATGGAGGAGAAGGGATTACGGCATGGCCATACCCTGGGGGGTGATTTGTCGCTTTCTGTCTCTCTGTCTCTCTCTCTCTGTCTTTCTGGCAAGGGCATGCGCCCTGTAGCAAAAATCTTTCAAAAAAAAAAAAACAAGGAAAAAAAATGAAAAAAAACTGACTTGCCCAAAGCCACACAGTTGGTGTAACTAAGTTTTGAATCTGTCTAGTGCTTTTCTGGGAACATTGCTTTAAGTCTCACTTATACTTTGGACTCATAAAATAAAAGACATTGGAGTTGGATACTTGATGACACAAATACAATAGTTGGTTCCACAGTGTTTGTTGCATGTTTGTAATGACAGGGGTTGGGGAAGGAGCTACCAGAGTTGGGTGGCATAGGCCCTGCCCTCAGGGAGTACCATTTGAAGACGTATACTTATAAGCAACAAATTGCATTATTCCAGAACACACTGGATGCATTAGTGTTTGAGCGTGTTGAATAAGTGACTGAGTTCTTTGTAGAAATCTTCCTGAAAGAAGGATTTCAAATCAGATCCTAGATATGCACAGAGACTAAGGACAGGACACTCGCTAGGTATACAGACATAGTGGTGAGAAAGGGAGCTGTGGAGAGTCAGCTGCAATTTAATGAAAAAAAACTGACTTGCCCAAAGCCACACAGTTGGTGTAACTAAGTTTTGAATCTGTCTAGTGCTTTTCTGGGAACATTGCTTTAAGTCTCACTTATACTTTGGACTCATAAAATAAAAGACATTGGAGTTGGATACTTGATGACACAAATACAATAGTTGGTTCCACAGTGTTTGTTGCATGTTTGTAATGACAGGGGTTGGGGAAGGAGCTACCAGAGTTGGGTGGCATAGGCCCTGCCCTCAGGGAGTACCATTTGAAGACGTATACTTATAAGCAACAAATTGCATTATTCCAGAACACACTGGATGCATTAGTGTTTGAGCGTGTTGAATAAGTGACTGAGTTCTTTGTAGAAATCTTCCTGAAAGAAGGATTTCAAATCAGATCCTAGATATGCACAGAGACTAAGGACAGGACACTCGCTAGGTATACAGACATAGTGGTGAGAAAGGGAGCTGTGGAGAGTCAGCTGCAATTTGGTGGAATAGTAAGAAACTAAGAAACGAAGGAAATAGCACTTGCTTATTATGTATTGAAAACCTACCGTGCTTAAGATATTGTGTAGAGGAGGGTTTACAATGGTGTGCAAAACAGATACGGTCCATGTTTTCATATTACTTAGACTTTGGGAGTGGGGGGAGCTAAAACCTATTGGTAATTGTTCTCATTTACTTTTGCATTGCTATCAGAAATACTTGAGCCTAGGTGACTTTATAAAGAAAATGAAAGTTTATGTACAAACTCATGATTCTGGTGGCTGAAAGTCCAAAGTCCTAGACCTACAGCATGGCCAGTGGAACCACAGAGGATGCAGCATATGCAGAGAGAGAGGTCCAGATGGATCTCTCTTTTACAAGAACCAACTCTCCTGAGAACTGATCCCATCTCATGGGAGCTGGAACTCACGGGGTCTCACACGACATCATCATCTATTTGTTAGACTATCGCCTACCTGATGCAATCACCACTCTATGATTCTGGGACACCATGAAGGAATAAGTTTTCACTTAATATCGTTATAATGCAGACAATACAATCAAGTCCTAGCACAGGAATTTCTGGGGAACACGTTCAAACCATAGCGATAATAATTACCCAAATGTTTCCAATCGTGATTGTTACTATAAAGAAAGATGATGGGATTCTGTGAACCCGTACAGTGCAGTAACATAAATTAGAGAGACATTGGAGCTGGCCTGTGAAGGAGCAGGAGTTAACTAGGCAGGTAGTTTTGGTGTGGGGAGCAGAGGAAGAAATGCCCAGGAAACAGGGTGGAGCTTATGCCAACGCCCTGGCCGTGTGAGGAACTGCTAGAATAAGGCCTGCGTGCTGGAGCCGTGAGGGTGGGAGTGTGCATGGCATGAGATGAGGCTGGGGAGGGACACAAGCTGGCTCAGAATTTGGTCCTTATTCTAAGAACCATGGGAAACCATGGTAGTATTTTAAGCAGGAAGGACATATCCAACTTTTCCTTCTAAAAATATCACTTTGGCTGTAACATGGAGAGGGAACTAATAGAGGTCTTGAAGTAACCCCTTAAGGGGCTCCTGCAGGGGTCCAGATGATGGCATCTTGGTGCAGGGTAGAGGCCGTGGAGATGGAGGGAGGGAGAGGGTGTCCACAGACATTTAGGAAATGGAATGACTCTAGCAGACTTGGTGCCTGGTTAGGTAATGGAGAAGCAGATGGTAAGGACAGTTCCTGAGCTGCCGATGCTCCAGGATGAAGGGTGGTGGGGCTGGCCTCCCAGAGAGGGAACCATGGAAAGGGACCCAGTTTGAAGAAGATGAAATCAGTTTCAGATGTCAAGGAGATAGCTGAGTCTGTGGCCAGAGTCCCCAACACCCAGGCCACGGAGCAGTAGCAGTTAGGAACCAGGCCGCTCAGTAGGAGGTGAGGCGGAGTTGCGGGGGAGGACAGGAACCTGAGCAAAGCTCTTTCTGTACTTACAGCTGCTCCCAATCGCTCGCATTAGTGCCTGAGCTCCGCCTCCCGTCAGATCAGTCTTGGCATTAGATTCTCACAGGAGCCGGAACCCTACTGTGAACTATGCATATGAGGGATCTAGGTCTTGAGCTCTTTATGAGAATCTAATGCCTGATGATCTGAGGTGGGGCTGAGGCAGTGATGCTAGCGCTGGCCTGCAAATACCGCATTATGGTCAGTTGTCTAATTATTTCATTATTTGATAATAGAAATCAAGTGCACAATAAATGTAATGCATTTAAATCATCCTGAAACCACACACACACACACACACACACACACACACACACTCACACACACCTCAGTCCATGGAAAAATTGTCTTCCATGAAACTGGTCTCTGGTGCTGGAAGGTTGGAGACCGATGGTCTATGGGGCTGGGAGCACCTGCTGAGAACTGAGCTGGAAGTAACTGTGTTAGGTCACCAACGTGCCAGGGAAGCTCTGGGCTCCGGCTGGATTTTCCTAGAGAGAAAAGAGCAGAGGAAAGAAAGGTCACTTGGCGAGGCTGCACTAAGGCTAGGCAGAGGGGAATAAGCCAGCGCAGGAGCAGCTGGAGAGGTGGGAGGAGCACCCAGCTGTACTTCAGTGCCGTGTCCTTGAGGTAAAGTGAAAATATCCTCTGAAAACCAAGGAAGTGGTGTATTTCATTTTATCTCTGCACCTGTTTCCTCACCATACCTCCACATTTGTTGTGTAGCCGCCATGCCTCTCGGGGTCTCAGCCACTTTATAGTACGCCATTACAGGTGTATTTATTGAATCTTTTATTATTGTGACAGATTGCAGGGCGTGTGTGTGTGTGTGTGTGTGTGTGTGTGTGTTCTGCCTGTAACAATAACCTCCTTTCCTTTCACCTACAGCACTGCACTTTTGGCTGCCCCTGCTGTTTGTTGCAAATCTGAGCTCATTTAATCCCACAGAGTCCTAAACAATATCTGGTCTCCGTGGCTCTGTCATTCAGCTCCCAGCACCCCACCTTCATTTGCCAGCTGGGATCTCTTAATGAGCTCACTGCACACAGTTCGATAGTAAACGGTTTTAGCTGGTGGAGTGTGTTTGCAGAGCGCGGTCGGAATGTTCCACGTCAGGCCTGCTCCCATGCTCTTGCTGGCATTCTCTTTTCAGGATGGCTGTAGCTCCTCCGAGTTACTGTTTTGTGGCCTTCCCGCCCCGTGCTAAGGATGGCCTGGTGGTCTTTGGGAAAAATTCAGCGCGGCCCAGAGATGAGGTGCAGGAGGTCCTGTACTTCTCAGCTGCTGACCACGAACCCGAGAGCAAGGTCGAGGTGAGTCACGCGTTGCAGTTTTCCTGTTCGCACTTACTCTCTTTCTCTGATGCTGCTGCTGGGGCAATCGTAACTTCCTTCTAGGACTCCTGTTCACTAATCTGTCACCCGGGTTCTGCCAATTCCCTTTTCTGTTCAGGTTAGTTCATGGTCTTTAAAAAAGGCACAGAGAATTCTATGTTCGCCGCTGTGGTCCTTATTTTATATTGGGCCATTGGAAAAGCCATGGTGATCTTTTTGCATAGAAAAACAGAAACTACGTCATGACTTTTTCGATGACCCAGTAGTTCCAAAACTATCTCCATGGCTTCAAAGTGAAATGTAGAAGCCAAGGTGTCGTGATAGAAGTCTAGCTATCTCTAGAAGCGTCTTTTTTTTTTCCCTTTTTTCTCTATAGGTAACATGTTTTGGAAAGTTTCTGGTTTATCTTTCCATTTTTTTAAGAGGTTTTGCCTTAGGGTACATGTGCTCACCAGAGAGAGAGAGAGATAAAGAGAGACAGAGACAGTGAGAGTGAAAGTAAGCAATCACGTCCCAGTGAGGATGACCATGCCACAATCCCTTCTCCTCCATTCTCGTCCTGAGATCTTGGGCACGCACGCACATGGCACCTGGAATGATTCTAAAACCCTATAGCATAAACCTCTCCAAAAAAATTATTTTTTTTTCTTTTTTTTTGGAGAGGTTTTTCTTTTTCTTTTCTTTCTTTCTTTTTTTTTTTTTTTTTCTATAGGGCACATGCGGTCCCC